GGATGAAATGGCATGGGTGTGGGGGGAGGACAGAGTGGTATGAAGGAAATTTGGATGGTTCTGTGGCTCGTGCTCTTTGTCTAATCTGGGGAAGGTATCAGCCTGCCAGAGCCCACGCCGAGGAGCCCTCTGCTATATGATATGTGTGTCCTGGTGATAGCAACCTCTTTGCTGGCTGCTAAAGTGCATTCCTGTGTAGCTGTGGAAAGAGAGAAAGCATGCTAGAGTCAGAGCTAGGACAGGAATGTGAGTATTTCCTTAATTGGACACAAGAGCCTTGAACTGGTTCCAGTTTTAGTGTTTTCTTTTAAGAGCCTGGACCCTAAAAATTTTTCTTTCTCTGAAAAATCCCTTTGGTTCAAAGGCCCCTTGATAGAAATAAAGAAAAGGCCAGGACTGAATCTCTTTGATATTTAGGAAGGCAAGAGTTCATGAGCTGCCAGATCCCAGGCTTCTTTTGGATGTCAGAGGGTTCTGGGCAGAAAGAAGGAGGCGCCTGCTGAGATGGTACATGGTGAAAGTGCTTTATATTGGGCCGCAGAGCCCTGATGATAGGATGCAAGGCACCTTCCCCTTGAGCATTTATAGAAGCAATTTTTCTCATCTTTATTAGCACCCCGAGAGCTAAAAAGAGACCTCTATTGCCCGCTTTATTGCCTCAGGAGTGTGAGACGGAGAGAGGTCATGCAACTTGCCTGAGGACTTACAGAAAAGCCAATCAAAGGCTAGAGGATTTTGTCTGGTGGGTTTGGGTTGCATTGTGTTGTGGACTGCTAATTCCCTAATGGCCAAGATGGGAAAGCGTGCCCACATTTTCAAGCTTTGCCTATTCATGGTGTGTCCAGAACCCAGATGGACACTTGCTGGGAGGCACCAAAGACTGGAAGAGTTTGGGGGGTGGAAGGGTTGAGGCGAGATGTTGGGACACAGACCACAGCAGTGCCCACAAGGCAGACTACTTGCCTCTTCCCCTCAAAAGCTGTAAATTGCAGTCAAGGGGCTCCAGGGGAAAATGGGGCGGTTTGTGGTTGAAATGAGTGAAAAACTAAAACAGATGCAGTCAACTCTGCTGATCACCCTCTTTTCCCCAAACACCTTAAAAACAAGCCATGTGTCTGCTCAGTGCTTTCCAACTCACCAAGTGTTTTCATAACATTATCTCATTTCAGCCTCACATCAACCCACACACATTCTTGCCTTTCAGATTTCTTATGTACTCAAATGAGTTTCACCGAAAAGTTGGCGAGAAACTCCCCTTCTCCTACTCACTTTTTTCCTCTTAAACCCCAAGCCTTTGACTGATATCTTTAAGAAGCTCCCAGATTCCCAGGGTGGGAAATTTGTTTATTCTGTCAGCCCTGCCCCACCAGCTAGACCTGTAGTCCTGGACTTTGCTATTGGAACCAATGCTTTTGTATTTAATTTATGTTCAGTCATTAAACAAAACCACAGAGACCAGAATAATGTAGTATCGTGAGGAAAACATAGGCTTTGGAACCAACAAGCCCCAGAGTCAAATTCCGGATCAGCCATTTGACAGCAGCGTGGCTATGCCCAAATTACTTAATCTCTCAGAGCCTCTCTTTCTTCACCTGTAAAATGGGGCAATAAAAAAATAAAATGGGGCAATAGTGCCTACATCTTAAAGTTGTCATGAGGCATAAATACGCTAATAGATATGACTAACTCAGCAAACAGCTACTTCGTGAAGTCCCCTATTGCTAACCAAAGGACCAGCTTCACCAGGATAGGCAAGTTAAGTGCGATACTGTCTTTTTGGAAGCCAGAAGGGAGATAAAGTGTGGGAATATGTTGCCAAATGAATTTAGATGGAGATTTTTTTTTTACTTGGTGAATAATTAGCTACATGTCCTGCAAACATGGCACAGTGGTGCCGGAGATAACTCTAGTATGATATAAAGGTCAATACCTTTCTTCTTTTTTTAATCATTATTTTAGGTGAGGGAGAGAAGGAGCTGGAAAATGGGATTTATGTAATATTGGAAAGCAAGACAGCTCTGATTCCACTGGGATTTTTACTGAAAGAGAATTGTACTTCAACACTTTGGTTCCCGGGGACAAAGGTGGGGGAAGGAAAGGAGGGCAGAGGCCCCTGACTGGGAATTTAGTTCACTGATCTGCACATAGTAGATGCTCAATAAATGTTGGTGCTAGACCGAGGTGGTTGAGAGAGTCCAGGTCATGTATTTGACTCCCGCTGCTGACTTCTTGGCAAATGCAGTCCAGGCGTAGGGTCGTAGTGGAAAGAACATGTGACCAGTCTGAAGGCCTGCGTTCAGGTTCCATCTACACTACTTAATAGCCTGGTGACCTTGGACATGCCATTTAATCTCTTAAATGTCTTCTCACCTGTAAAATGAGGAGACTGGACTAGGCGATTTGGAAGGTCTCTTTCAGCTCTAAGGTTCTGGGGCTCTAAGTAACTTCATTTGCTTGTGTTTCTGTTTATTTATTAAAAGGAAAGGGGATAGAAACTTATCTCCTAGGATATTAAGAAGAAATAGTCTACATGATAAACACCCCATGTCTTTAGAGATCTGAAGCAAATGCAGTAACTAAGAGCCATGTAGCAGAGTAGCTGTGTCATCTTTGGCAAATCTAATTTATTTCAGCCTCAGTTTGCATATTTGTTAACTGGGGACTGTAAGTTGTGTTATGTTACTCTTATCACGTTCTTTTGAAAGCTGAGATAATGAAAATACTTTGAAAAACTTCAAGGCACTATATACAGTATTATGATTGAGAAAAGGCATACTTGTTATAGTATATCGAAGTTTAGCCCCATACATTCCATATTTTCAAATGAATGAATGTGTTACTGTGGTCCCAGAGGGGTTATAGAAGGTATAGATTTGGGGTCACAACTCAAAGCTTACTTTCCATTCCCAGTTACTTGACGGAAGTGATATTTAGTTAAAATGGGCATTAATACAATGTTTCTTCTACGAGAGTAGGCACCAGGTAAATTATCTCAGTGTTCTCCAAAGTAGGGAATGTTTTAAGGGGCCAGATATCTGTTCTCGGAGGCCTATGTCCCACCCTCTTCTCCAGACTGAGGCCATTTTGACACTTACCGGTGTTTGTGTATGGAGGGGGTAGCTTTCTGAGTTCTGAAGATGTCACAAAGCAATAATGATGGCTATGTAATGTGAGGCTGTTGGCATGTAAAAGTGGTGAGACAGCCCTTTCATTCAGGCCTTCCAGGGTTTACTACTGGGGAGCAATGGCAGAAGGCCTCAGTCCTTGCTTGTGGGGGCCCATCTCAGGCCCCCAAAAGTCCCATCCTAGAAACCAGCTCTCCAAGCATTGGCTTCTCCTTTGACCAAGTAAATGACAACAGGTCACGTGCAGCCTTTGAGAAGCTTCCCCACCCTATGCGAAAGGCATAAACAGCACCCCGCCCCCCACCAGTAGTAACACCAAATCTGGATCATCCCCATCTGGCTTTTGTTCACAGAAGCATCACCCTCCATCAGGACACTACCTTGAGAGGGGGCTTGTCTTGAAGCCGCATTTTCCTAGGAAGTACACTGTTTTTACTCAGGCTGTATATATGAACGACTAAAAACAGCAAGATTGTTTTAAATTTAATTACTTTTTAAGCAATTCTTATCAATTATTTTTATTTGCTTTGTCTTGGGAAGGCTGATAAAAATTATAAGGGCCTCTGTTAAACCATTACCATTGATCCTATCATCCCTTATTTGAGATAGGGTTATGTATTTTCACTTTTTAAGCATATATCAATGGATTGAATACAGTCACTACCTTTCAAAGAGCTGACTTCAAAGTACATTTAATTTTGCCAAGTTTTTGATACCCTCTCCTCCAACACGTACACTTCCTCCGTCCCCAGTACACACATAGGTTAGGGTTATAAAAAAACTGAAAAGCCATTTTTCAGTTTTTGCAGAGGTGTGAAGCAACGCACTACAG